AGCAAATCGTTTGGGAGTTAACAGCAGGAGCAAATACATGTGTGTACAGTCACATGCATAGACATGTCCTGAACACAGTTGTGTAAACTCTACTCCATAAGCAATCGTAAGGCCAATGGAGAGGATAGAACATGCAGGGAACTCTAGTTGGAGTTAGTCATAGAATCATAGAATAGCTTAGGTTGGAAAAGACCTTTAGGATCATCAAGTTAAACTGTAAAGCTAACACCACCAAGCCCCACTAAGCCATGTCCCTAAGCACCACATCTACACATCTTTTAAAAACCTCCAGGGATGGGGACTCCACCACTTCCCTGGGCAGCCTGTTCCAATGCTTGACAAATGCTTTGGTGAAGAAATTTTTTCTAATATCCAATCCAAACCTCCCCTGGCACAACTTGAGGCCGTTTCTTCTCATCCTATCACTTGTTACTTGGGAGAAGAGACCAACACCCACCTCACTACACCCTCCTTTCACTTGTAGTTGTAGAGAGCGATAAGGTCTCCCCTCAGCCTCCTCTTCTCCAGGCTGAACACTCCAGTTCCCTCAGCCACTCCCTATCAGCCTTGTGCTCCAGACCCCTCACCAGCTTCGTTGCCCTTCTCTGGACGTGCTCTGGCACCTCAATGTCTTTCTTGGCATGAGGGGCCCAAAACTGAACACAGTATTCGAGGTGTGGCCTCACCAGTGCCAGGTACAGGGGCACCATCACCCCCCCTAGGCCTGCTGGCCACACTGTTACTGATACAAGCCAGGATGCCATTGGCCTTCTTGGCCACCTGGGCACACTGCTGGCTCATATTCAGCTGGCTGTTGACCAACACTCCTAGGTTCTTTTCCACCAGGCAGCTTTCCAGCCACTCTTGCCCAAGCCTGTAGCATTGTGTGGGGTTGTTGTGACCCAAGTGCAGGACCTGGCTCTTGGCCTTGCTGAACCTCATACAACCAAATGAAACATTTGGTGATTGTTGATTCACATACAGCTGTTTCCTTTTATTAACTACCGATGAAAATGATCAAATGCCAGAGATCTCAGCTTTTCACTTGAAGTCTTCTGTAGTCTTGGTGTAATGAAAGCTGAAAAAAAAAGCAAAGGTAGCTGTGAAAGGCAAAATAAGCATACAGTTTTTTCAGTAATGTCTGAAATTGAGTTCAAGTGAATAATTCTGTGTAGTTAAAGGAGTAACACTGGGGATTTTTATTTCTACTGAAAGAGGCGTGAGATTTGTTTTTCATATAAAGGTGGTAATTTGTAATACAGTTTTCTTGATTAAGTCTTATAGTCGCTAAATCTTGCATGTAAATGTTGCTGAATATGAAACATTGTCTTTAGCAATTTCTAAAAAGTAGAAAGATTTGTTGGTTATATTTCAGAAATGATAAACTGTCAATAGCTTTTTCAGGCTATTATAATTTTTACAGAGGAAATTACATGATTATGATCCCTGCTGGTGTAACATATGGATCTCTACCAGAGCTCTCAACTTAAAATAACGTAGGCTTCAAAATTAATAGGTGCTTATGGCTAATGCTAGTCTGAATGATTTGAAGAGAAAATTTAATTAAAACATGTATTAAAATGAAGTAACTCTTACTAAAGTTCAACCCTGCAACCAGAAGATTTTATAGGAAGCAACTGGAAACCCTCAGGATGGTACATCCTGGCCCTGGGAGAAGCGATATTTTCCCTCTACCCAGGATGCAATTGCTATAGGATTTCATGGAAGTGCTTCTACTTTTATGTGGTATCACTGACTTATCCCTATTTTATCAACTCACTGCCACCACTGTTTCTGTGATCATTAAATCCTATAAGCACCAGATACCAAACCCAGTCAAATGAAATGAAGAACAAAACTTAATATTTTGCTGTGTTGTCTGTTGTGAGGAAAACAGTGTCCCAGTTGGCCCTCTAATTATTTCAGCCTTTCAAATGAGAAGGCAGGTGGGATGGTGCCAAGGGCCTGAATATGACTGGTTTGCAACTTAAGTGGTGAGCCTGAGTAAGAGGGAGACCCGACCTCCTTTTCCTCAAACGAGTTACAAAACAATGCGTATCAAAGAACCCAGTAAATAAAATGAGCTTCCACAGTTCCCCTTGGCATCATGTAGGTCTGGGCTTAGCTCAGCTGGGTTTAAATAAAGCTCTGTAACTCCATTTAGTAATGAAAAATAGTATCTGTTATATTTTAAAGACACTATTTATAATGCCTAATAGTAGTAGTTCTATATACCTCTAAATGTGTGTGTCTGGGAGTGTTAAGTTGGACCTTACTTAGTTTTCTGCTTTGTTACAGCTGTTACTATTCTGTTACCATTTCCATCCATTTCCAAGACAGTCACTAAGGCACCTTTTTAGAATCATTATGAGTACTATACATTCTCATTTTTCAACAGTGTTAACTCATTTCTTTGGAAACAGTAGTAGAATCCTTCTTCTGAAAAAATCCTTACCTAGTCTTTAAGAACATAGACAGTTGTTTTCATATAAGAAGGTGGTTGTAGCCAGAATCTGAAAGTGTATGTGGGGGTTTTGCAGTGTGTTTACAAATATCTCCCCATCTCCATGCAGCTGTCATTATTTTATCTTTGGCAAGTGGGGATATAAAAGACAAAATTAGAGTTATATGTAAGGCTGCAGTATCTAGCATAGGACCAGGATATAGAAACTTCTAAAATACTTGCTGAGAACTAATTAGAATATGTGCTGCTGCTAGGATTGCTTTGCATCAAGGCCTCTGCATTTGGAAAGGAAAAAGTGATACCTGTTTAGAATAAGGCCGAGAGAACTTTTTTCTGCCCTGAGCTATTTTTGTTTTTTAAGAACAGTAGTCTTGGATGCCTGCTAATACTATATTGTTTACAATCAAAGAGTGGATCAATAAAATAATAAACAGAAAACACTGAAGTTATGATTTCTGTTGATGGATTGTGCATCTGAGGAAAACTTTGTTATTAAGAATCTATGAAGACCACTGTTACAGAACACAACAGTACTTTTCCATTAAACTTCCCACATTTACAGTTATTTTTGTATTACATTAAAATAAAATGGAAATCCACAGTATCACTTTAGATGAATGTTTCATTTTGAAGTTGCAGAGAAATTAGGATAATTTTTTCAAAGGTATGTGTGACGACATTGAGATACCAACGCGGAGATCAGTGCCTACGATCAAAGCTTCACCTCTGCCTTCTCTTAGTCTTATGCTTTGTTTCCTATGCAACAGTTCATAGACACTGTGGAGCCTGCTTTTATGGATATGCAAAGTATTAGTCTTTTACAGAGTCTGATTTTCAGGGTAGAATCCATTCCTTCTTCTATAGCCCCAATGTTTGGGCTCATTGAGGGTGAACAAAAGCAAGCCTGGAAAAGAGCTCATCTTTTGTCTGTCTTGGGAAACCACACCGCCCTTTCATGCCACTTGAGTGAGAGGCTGGAGCAAGCAAATGGCCAAGCAAACACTTAATGTATTTTCCCAGTGCCTCATAATTACTAAAACAACTTTGTGCTGATTCTGTAAAGATATTCATAGGATTGATTACAATTGTTAAGTGGGATTCATCTACCTAAAGGTCAATGTATATAGCTGCTCGGTTTTGGCTCCCATTATAATAAAGGGAAACCTATGTGGTGATAGCTGAGGGAATATCCTAAAATGCCTGTATTTATACTCTTAAGTGTACCTAATTACCACCCTCCCCCCCACCTTCCCATTTTTTCTTTCTCACACCTAGTAGGGACTATGAACTCCAGCACTTTTATAAAGACACTGTCTACTCTCTTCTCTAAAAATAAACAATATATTCTAGTAGAAAAAGAGAGGAGCCAGGCTTGAATTAGAGGTCATAGATTCAGAGTTAATTTAGAATTTGGCAGTTGACTCAGATGTGATTGGCAAGGAGATTTCCAAAAGGCTGCAACTGTAAATTGAAAATAAATGGAAAAGGATTATGTGAGTGGGAGACAGTTTTGAATCTATAATGCATGTCCCGAGACTGACTTGCTCATAAAAGAGCACATGTTTAATGTGTCATAAAAATATTTAAGTCACATTGGTCTTTGTATAAATATTTCATTTTAAAGTCGGATTCTGGAGTGGCTAAAAATGAATTCAGTGTGCATATCCTTGCCATCAGTATGAAGGATAAAAAAAAAGGATCACCAGAAACTGGTTTTTTTTTTCCCCTTTCAGACTCATATTCTCACAAGATTTTTGATGTTGTCTTTTGTGTCCAAATCAATTTTTTTTAGTCCTTGCTATATCATCTGTTTTGTTGTATAGTATTCCTCTGAGAGAAGCTATGGATCTATTATATTAGGAGGCAGTTTGGAGGCAGAGTGAGTTGCTGCCAAGAAGGCATTCGTGTATGAGTGTGTGAATGTGGGTGGGTGACTGAGAGGTCCAAAAGGGACACTTGTCTGTGTCCCTTCAGCTGCTTCTGTTCCAAAGATGATACATGTCTGTAAATAAAGCAAGATACATTTTGAATGTGCCCATGTTTTGCATCATTAGTTTTTTCACTGTTGGGAAACCAAACTGCAAGAATCTGAACATCTGCTACCACCTGGCTGCTCAAGTGGCTAAAGGAAGGAGTGACAGCAGCTAGAAAAGGCCGCCTCTAAAATATTCACTATTTTTCTTTCTGCTATTTTCTTTAACTAAATACAGTCATCTTAATTTAGCTCAGGAATAATTTAGCTCGACACTGATGTTAGTACCATATCTAGGGAATAGTCTTTAGGGCTTTATGAAACAATTTAGTAATTACAGAGGAAGAGGGAAGTACGTGACCAGAGCTGCACTCACCGCACCACGCTATATGAGCACACGGCTAATGGCCCTTTTGGATGTATTATAAACTGATGCCTGAGACTGTACTTCCCCCATCTATAACAGCATGTGAAATACAAATGAGTGCTAACTTCTCCACTGTCACTCTAGTGAATAAGACTTAGACCTCCCTGGTTATGATTCTTTTATACTATTCCTCACAGGTGAAATCTGTGCTTTTAAAATCCATGGACAAGAAATGCCCTTCGAAGCTGTTGTGCTTAACAAGACATCTGGAGAAGGTCGTCTTCAAGCAAAGAGTCCTATTGACTGTGAACTGCAGAAGGAATACACATTCATCATCCAGGCCTATGACTGTGGATCAGGACCAGGTGGAACAAACTGGAAGAAATCTCACAAGTGGGTAAAAACGAGGAGAAATTTTTTTTTGCTTTGGCATACACTTGCTTTACAGTACAGATTGTATTGAAGGGCTCCTTTTTATATTCTAGTCAGGTAGAAAGCAAATAAAACCAAGATGAAGCATTGTTGCAATAGTTCATCCACTTTTAATTCCTTTTTTCTTTTAGAAAATTTTTTTCTTCTTTGCCTCCTGCAGTTTGACCCGTTCTGCAATGGTTGTAGTTGAAGCTTTTAATAGGATTCCTGTTCAAGTGGAGAAATGCATCTCAGTTTTGGTTTCTTTTTTCCATTCTTGCTTTCACATTAAGTACATTGACTAAACACATCATCCAGGACAGGGAAGCTAGCTTTTAAGCGATGCTTACAAATTCTAAGTAGCTTTTCTCTCTGTTCGTCTCATTAAAAATCGTAAGAAAAGAGAAAATCACCCTTGCACGTATATAAGCTGCAGCAGTGTTGCCTTTGCACGGTATGTTTCTGACCTCAGCTTTTGGGCAGCAGGTCTCAGAGGAATTAAAATCCTCTGGAAGAGAGGGGAATTAAAGGTTAGTAGGTGGTACTTTTTACTGTGTAGCCAATTCCCTGCATAAGCTTAAGTGGCACAGTGCCTTTTCCCCCCTTCAGTTCATAAAACCAAGTTCCAGTCCATTTGTCAGTAAAGATGAATTTAACTCACGTATAGATGTATAAATGCTGTACAAATTGTTCGTTTTGCTGAGAGCCATTTAAATAAATGATGAATGGTAATTATTTTTCCTTTTCCTCATCCAGGACACATGACAATTAAAAATTTAATTACCTCTATAATGCATGCTGAACTTTTTCAGGATATTTTAAAAGAATACACTTTTTGAAGGAAACCTGCAATATCAAATAACTGTCAAGTCACAGAAACAGTTTTTGCTTCATATTATGAAATTTTATGATGTTTTTCCCTCACGTGTCAGTAACAAGCTAGTACGTTCCACTTGTGGAAAATTTTGGTCTAATCCTGACAAAATGAAATGTGGTCCATCGGGACCAGACTTTGTTACACTTTCTTGTAGCGGCTTGTATAGTAAATGACACGCTAAGCTAGGCTGTCTGGTGTCCCAGCCTTTGCTACTGGCTCTGCCATCGATCTAGAAAGTCCTTTCACTTCCCTGTCCCTGTGTTACCTTGTCTGTCAAACCAGATAGCAAATCCATTCAAAGAAAGGCCTTTAGAATTTGCTCATTAAATACTAACAGCCTGTTGTTTTTGACCCTCAAAGGTTTATGTGTACAGTGTTGTAACTAAAGGATTAGATATTATAATCAGCAGAAGGTGAGAGCCTTGTTTAACATCGAAGAATGTTTATAACTGAGCATTTTTAGCTAGGGAGATATGTAAGATTACTGTAATTCTCTTCCTCTTTTAACCCATTCTACACTGGAATGATATAATTGACTTTCTGCTGGAGTCCATTTGAAGAGGCAGACTGATTTTAATAGGGAGCACCATGAAGCCCCCTCCCTACAAGCTGTGGCAATAGATTTTTTCCTAGTGCCACATTAAGATATTAAACTGGGTGAATTAAACATAAAAAGTCAATATTTTAGCAGTTGTTTACATAGTTTTCTACATATATTTTGTTAGTCTTTTCAAGTGTTTTGAAAACAAATTCTTAGTGATGTGTCATAAAAAATGAATTCTTTTATTTGATGTCTTTACCTATTTTAGGGCAGTGGTCCATATCCAGGTAAAGGATGTCAATGAGTTTTCACCAGCTTTCAAGGAGAGTGTGTATAAGGCCACTGTGACAGAGGGAAAGATCTATGACAGCATACTGCAGGTAGAAGCCATAGACGAGGACTGTTCCCCACAGTACAGCCAAATCTGCAATTATGAAATTGTCACAACTGATGTTCCTTTTGCCATTGACAGAAACGGTGAGTATGGAGAAAGAGCAATTGTAAATTCTGGGACAGATAGCAATAATTTCTGTAGATAGTGTAATTACCTATTGATGCTAGCTGATCACCTGGGTGGAGTTTTAACTCAAGAGAGTAACCCTGTTTTTTTCTCTGAGAATGAAGGAACCGTTACTCTGGGAAATTCCATCCCTTTTATGTAAGATTTGGTTATAAAGTGCTACAGTAATTTACAATGGAAATTAAAATCTCAGGTTTAGATGAGCAATATGTTTCTCTGTCACTCACTCCATTCTCTTCATTGTCTCAGATCTAGTTCCTCAGCCGAGTGATGGCATTTCCTAATGCAGCATGTAGCCCTATCTAATAGGGTTTATTCGCTGGTTTATAACCAGTCCCATTCTTGTCAGCTTTCTGGAGCAGAGTCTAAATGTAGAATTTACATTATTCTGGATATGTTTATTGATTGTTAAAACTTTCGGGGTGTGGGTCCATAGATCTACCCATTTGTGGTGCTTCCTGAAGCAGATCCATTGTTCCAGCATGGAAGAAAATTTGCTTTGGAGAAGTAGTGTTATTTTGTTGTGGTTTAACCCGGCTGGCAATTAAGCACCACGCAGTGGGATGGGGGAGAGAATCGGGGAGAAAAAAAAAAGGTTAGAGCCGTGGGCTGAGATAAAGACAGTTTAATAAGAGATAAGAAGAATAATAGTAATAATGAGAATGGTAAGAGAATATACAGAATATACAAAATGAATGATGCACAATGCAATTGCTCACCACCCGCCAACCAATGCCCAGCCCGTCCCGAGCAGCGGTCACTTCCCAAGCCACGATCACTCGCCGAGCTGCAATCACTCTCCCCACAACCAACCGACTAACCCCACCCCCCCCAAGCATGATGTTATATGGTATGGAATAGCTCTTTGGTCAGTTTGGGTTAGCTGTAATGGCTGTGCTCCCTCCCAGCTTGTTATGCACCTGGCCGAGCAGGAGAAGCTCAAAAAGTCCTT